AAGTAGTTTATTTGCATTAATCATATTTTAATCTTTTTGAGGCTAGTATTTGGCAGGAAATGCAGACGTATTCACCTGTAAACGCACACTGAACGACATACATGCACATTTACCATTTACCTCACTGTATAAAAAGTAACTGTGTTGATAATAATAATAATAAACAGGAATTATATTTGCAAAGTAGCCTGCTTTGTTTCCAAGGCAAGGCAAGGCAAGTTTATTTATATAGCACTTTTCAACACAAGGCAATTCAAAGTGCTTTACAAAAAATGAAAGACATTAAGAAAATGGCATTTAAAATCAGTCATTAAAAAGAAAAGATAATAAAAGAAACATTAAAAGAAAAAATACATGGATAAAAGTTACAGTCAATTAAAAGCAGCGACAAAAAGAAAAGTCTTCAGCCTGGATTTAAAAGTAGTCAGAGTTGCAGCGGACCTGCAGGTTTCTGGGAGTTTGTTCCAGATATTTGGAGCATAATAACTGAACGCTGCTTTCTCCATGTTTAGTTCTGACTCTGGGGACAGAAAGCTGACCAGTCCCTGAAGACCTGAGAGATCTGGATGGTTCATCATTTAGCAGGAGGTCAGAAATGTATTTTGGGCCTAAACCATTCAGTGCTTTATAAACCAGCAGCAGTATTTTTGAAATCTATTCTTTGACACACAGGAAGCCAGTGTAAAGACTTCAGAACAGGAGTGATGTGATCCCACTTTCTTAGTGTCAGTGAGGACTCGAGCAGCAGCGTTCTGAATCAGCTGCCAGCTTCCTAATAGATTTTTTTAGTGAGACCTGTGAAGACACCATTGCAGTAGTCGAGGTCTACTGAAGATAAAAGCTAATGGACAAGTTTTTTCCAAATCCTGCTGTGACATTAGTCTTTTAATCCTAGATATATTCTTTAGGTGATAGTAGGCTGATTTAGTAACAGTTTTAATGTGACTGTTTGAAACTCAGGTCAGAGTCCATGACTACACCTAGATTTCTGGCTTTATCTGTTGTTTTGAACATTGCACACTGAAGCTCAGCGCTAACTTTTATACGTTCTGACTTGGCTCCAAAAACCATTACCTCAGTTTGATCTTTGTTTAATTGGAGAAAGTTCTGACACATCCCAGTCATTGATTTGTTCAATGCACTTACTCAGTGTTTGAATTGGAGCATAGTCTCCTGGTGAAATTGTTACGTAAATTTGTGTGTCATCTGCATAGCTATGGTAACTTATTTTGTTGTTCTTCATTATCTGAGCCAGTGGTTAGCATGTAGACGTTAAAGAGAAGAGGCCCCAAGATGGAGCCTTGAGGTACCCCACATGTCATATTGTCAAACTCAGATGTGTATTTACTAGGGCTGTCAATTTAACGCGTTAATAACGCGTTAACGCAAAAAAAAATTAACGCCACTAATTATTTTAACGCGATTAATGCATGTGTATTTTTTTTCCTCGGCCGCCCCGTAGTTTCAGAGCGCATCGAGTTTAAAATACCATCTACAAGCTGATGCTGACAGCCCCGCTCCTGTCGCCCGCTTGTGGCAGACCACACCTTCCACGCTCACCGGCAGGCACCGACTGACTATTGGGAGGACCGGGAGGGTGTGTTGTATGTGTGGCCCGAGCGGAAGCGAGAGAGAGACCTTACGTGCATTGTTGTGTTAGCATCTGGTGCTAGCTAGCTGCGCTAACGGATACAAGGAGCTGTTTTAAATGAAACATTTTCGCCACAACTGCGCCGAGCACTTGACTTTATGCAGGTAGCCAGACAGTGGGACATTGTACGAAAGTCAGCACACTCAGCACGGATAGTGCAACATGATTGCAGCGTCCAGGCAGCTCCCGTTCGAGCATATGCCTTGAGTTGCACATAGCTCCAACGATCCATCACACACACAACACACACACACACACACACACACACACACACACACACACACACACACACACACACACACACACACACAACACACACACACCATTTGTATTGTATTATTGAATGAGAGAGGTTCCAGGTTGAATTGAGGCGAATATTTGTAATGTTCAGAGGTTGTTGTGTTTAATATTCATGAGAATATTTGTCATTGTTCAAATGATAATAAACATTAGCATAAAGCATATTTGTCCACTCATATGTTGATAAGAGTATTAAAAACTTGAAAAATATAAGGTACATTTAGAACAGATAAAAAATGTGCGATTAATTTGCGATTAATCGCGATTAACTATGGACAATAATGGGATTAATCGCGATTAAATATTTTAATCGACTGACAGCCCTAGTATTTACCTATAGAAACAAAGTTGTTTCTGTCCTTTAAGTAGGATTCAAACTAATTCAGAACTGTTTCCGAAAGTCCCACCCAGTTCTCCAGTCGGTCTAGTAATATGTTGTGGTCAACAGTGTCAAACGCAGCACTGAGATCTAATAATACTAACACTGAAGTTCTGCCACTGTCTGTGTTTAAGTGGATGTCATTAAAGACCTTCACAAGAGCAGTCTCAGTGCTGTGGTTTGGACGAAAGCCTGACTGGAACACATCAAAACAGTTATTTAAATGCAATAAATTACTCAACTGTTGAAAAACTATTTTGTTCACTCCTGTCGGTTGGGGGGGGGGGGGGGGCTCATCTCACAATGTCGCTTGGGGCCCCAAGTTGGCCAGGGGCGGCCCTGGGTACGGGCTAATGTTGACCGGGCAAAGGCCCGTTTGGCCTTTTTGGCTGACCTGCCCCTCTGGAGAGAGCGAGAGTTTCTTTTTCTTTTCTTCTGTTGTGGCTGAATCAACATGACAAGCCCACAATTAGTATTGTAGCGTCTTGATGCGGGAAACACACTTTGTCAGCGCTGTCATCTGCCGGTGCGTTAAGACCACCTCAGTGTCGGATTTTGGAAACTTGATTTTGAGTTGTCTCATGGCAGTTAGGGTATAAGGGACAAACCAGTGGACTTTACTTCCTCTTGATACCGTCGGTTATTTACAAAAAAACACCTAAATATAACCTACTTGTTGTTATTGTGCTTCTGTCTTTCTGTGTTTTTCATCTGTAAACTCCCTCAATGGCGCCGCTCGCTCTCTTTTCTTGATCGCCCTCTCACGGGTGTACAGTTAAATGTCCCGCTTCATTGTAGGATTTCTGCTACTACTTTAGTTTGACCATCTCTGTTATTAAGTTATGGAATACTAAATAAATAAGTAATTAGATACCTTACCGTTACTGCGCTCATAAAGAATGATAAGAATAAGAATAATGCGTATTGAACTGGTTTCATTAATTAGTTAGAGGCCCTATTGTATCAGTATGTCTGGACTGCACAGCAGTTACAATGGTCTGGTCAAACTACATTAGAACAGAATTGTCCCCATTTTGTCTTTAATAATTACTAACATTAGTTATTTTAATGAGATATGGACCGCAAAACAAAACATTTCCCTGGTTTTCATTTTTAAAATCAAGTCACCGAATGCAAGTAGTCGCCTTAACTTATTTTGTTATGAGATGATGATGATGTGAATGACTCTTTTTCAAAGTAATTTATAATAAAGGCATTTTATCAGGTCTACATTATCATATTAAATAATACAGACTGTCAACGTTTTATATTTATACTATTTCTAGTGTCCAGCGGTAGTTGTAGTTACGTCATTCTAAGTGGAAACAAAGAGCTGCATCGATCACACTGGATAAAGCATTCTATGACCGGAAGTTAGAAGCGTTTCCTTCACAATAAAAGCACTAAAACAAAAGCGCTTTGACTTGCACTATTACAAGTGTTGGCTATCAAATCAGTGAAGTCATTATATTATATTGTATACAATAAAATGAACAACATCATATGTGTTTTGTATTAATTTACAATTTCTCTAATTCATGGATGCATTCAATGCACCCATCCATACAGTATATCTGTACTATTTTTGCATTTCATGCTAATTTCTCACGTAATATGTATGTATTCTACAGTTTTTTCAATTTAGACAACTTTTATTACAATGTATTTCTCTTTTGAAATTATGAAAGAATTATAAAACTAGCTCTTCTTTTTAATACTTTTTTACTTGGAAAAGAGTATACATTTGAATATATGATTGAAACATATACACACAAGCACTCTCATATGTCATACAACAAATAACTGTTTAATAAAGGAAAATATTCTTGATGCATGCACTTGTAAGCATGTGTATGTGACAATTGTAGGAGTTGAATGGGGTGGAGACTAAACAAAACTTAACAGAGATACACATGTGCATTGTCCCTGCTAAATAAACCATTAAAGAGAATAAAGATGAATGTGGTCTGAGCAAAGATGTGGGATTACACCCTGATCCTGATGTGATCTGATCCGATCACAATCTGGACTAGTAAATATAGTATACAGTAGTAGAAAGATAGTGTGACACTGTTCAACAATCTTAAAGTTCTTCTTAAAATTCAGTTAAACCTTTAATTAATTATTCTCTGTTTGAAGGATGTTTATCCTTGCAAGATGATGTTTTAATTTGTATTTAGTAAGTAAAGACTAACCTTGTTGAATTTGACCATGGCAGATTTAAGAGCAGTAATACCAGAGGTCACTTGTTTAGAAGAAGTAGTCTCCGTCGATGCTGGAACTAAGCATATTTACCAAAGTAGTGTACCTTACCATTTTGAGTTATCAGTAGGCTACTGTATAACATTATGGTTCCGTAATAGTTAATTTACAGAATGATATTTTAGACAAATGTGCTGTTTATTTAGGAGATGTGTTGCATTGTAAGACTTACACAAACAGACAGTATACAATAGTTCAGATCTACTTCCACCCAGACTAAGGAGAACATTACAATGCTCGTTTTACATGTGTGAATATTCCTCAACATCTGTAGATCTGTAGGGAAAACAATGTTGATTATAAACAGTGCTCTTCTGAGGCTCTTATTTTGAAAGCGGAAGCAGCCCGTGTTTATTGTTTGGACGTTGACACTGGCTCTTTTTCAGCACAACGTGCAGTTTATCTCTCAGCCTCGCCGCTGAGACAGAGTCCTGGGAGAGGAGACAGCGGACAATGGAAGAGCGTCCAGCCGGCTGTGAGCCCTGCAGCCCGGGAGCAGGGACCCGGGGGTAACGTCACATACAGCCGGGACAGGAAGGATATTTATCAGCATTTACCTGAGTGCGGCACGTGAGAATGCACTGTGCGTTAGATTTGATTCAAATTGATTTTATTTTGACTGATGGATAATTTGATTTTGGTTAAAGTTCGTTTGCTTGTATGGGAGATCCAGAGCCAGGTGATGTCTGGTTCTCCTCTGCTGCTGGGGGTGGGGTGGGGGCTGGGGGGGGGTGGGGGGTGGGGGGAGACACACCGCTGTGCTGCACCGAGCACCAGATCGTTCTCTCTCTGCTCACAACTACTCAGGGTGAGTGACGGTATGCAGATGCTGGAGGACTGAAATAAGGCTGCACACCTGCTACATCTGCTCTTATTGTCGAAATGCTGATTTTAGTCCTCTTATGACCATTTGTCATAAAATCAGCAAATGATGTGTGATCTTAAATGAGTTTTAAAGACAGTGGGACTGTCTGTCGGCCTATGTGGGCATCTCTGATTTTCTGATGCTTTATGTGTCTCCTGTGGTCAAAACAAGCATTGAATGAACATTCAGATGTGTGGTTTCTAGCTTCTCCTGAGGTAGGACCTCCTCTGTAAGCCTGTTCCTGCCCCCCCAGCAGCCATGGACCCCCTCCCAGAGTACTCTCTGTTCCTGGTTCGAATCCTGGACGAGCTGGACACCAAGCACAAGACCATGTCCTACCAGGACCTGTGTAAGTCCCTGTGCGCTCGCTTCGACCTGGTACAGCTGGCCAAGCTCCGCAGCCTGCTTTTCTACACCGCCTGCCTGGACCCCGCCTTCCCAGCCACCCTCTTCAAGGACAAGATGCGCTGCTCCATGGAAGACCCACAGTCCAAGAAGCTCATGGTGGCAGCAGACATCGTCACCATGTTCAACTTGATCCAGATGAACGGAGGCATGGTCAAAGACAAGCTCCCCACAGCACACAGAGGCAAGTTCCACAAGAACCAGTCGTTGGAGCTGGGCAAGTCTGATGATGACTCCTTTAAGTTTCAGGACTGTGACAGGAGGCTTGGTTATGAGCACATGGATCACCCCAGAGCTGGACACCACCACCATCACCCCACCAAGCAGCTACCTGGGACTCAGAGCGCCACCCCCTCCTCTGAGTGCAAGACCTTCCAGCCGTTCATCCCCTCCTCGGACCCTAACTTCCTTCTGGGCATCAACAAGGACCTGAAATGTAGAGCAGCGTCTCTGGACAAGCTGCACCACCTACCCCAGTACTCCAACAGCAGCCCACCCTCTCCCCCATGTGAGATAGAGAGCACCTACTTCCCCATGGATATGGACAGCGAGTGCACCACCGACCAGGAGTCCCTGCAGCACATGGACCCTCCAGAGCCCTTCTCCGTCCACTCCTGCATCCAGAAGAGGAACGTCTTCAAGGAGGACTTCCACAACTTTGTGGCCTTCTCCCCACAGGTTTGTGTTTTTGTTTCTAGAAAACTGCTGAAGGACGTAAGAGATGCGGAGCAACTTGAAGTACTGTTAATGTATTTCAGGAAAAAAAAATTTTAAGAGGCAATGTATTCAGATAGGGGAATTATTTTGTAGGAACAGTAAGAAAAAACTAAAGTATTCAATTCACAAAAAAAGACACAAATGGAAACCATGATCAAACTGTATCCAAAGTTTTTTGAATGTCCATTGTACATCTGATGATCATGTGAGAACATAAAAAGAGAAATATTGCATGAACTGATTTTATGAATAATTATGAGAACGCTGTCATTAGTTATTACATAAAGAATAAAGATTCCTGGATATCCAGGCAACTATTATTAGAGAACACATCAATGTAAACTTAAGTTTATGGAAAACAGGTTAAAGAAAAAAAATGGCCTAATCATCATTTTATAAAAACAAAAAATGTGTGGAACTAATACTCATTGTATAACTTTTAAAAGTTTTAGTTTGCAGAATGGCCCAATTCAAACCATATGAGTATATTTAAGTCAGTATGCATATTATTATTTATGTATGTTTACATATATTAGTATACTGTATATGAGTATTGGGTAGGTTAATTATAAACTAAAATCACATTTGACACTTATATTCTGAAAGTAAAATGTATGTTTAGAAAGGTATCAAATAAACATAGTGGAGTATACGTTTAATATTTCCATTTAACATGTAGATACAATATTTCTAGATAAGTAGAAAGCAAAAGTCAATGGCTTTTTCTTCACTGCAGAAATATAGGCAAAAAGGCATTGTTGAACTCATATACGTATACTGTCACTTTTTAAAATACATCCCATTTACCATATTGTATCCTTTTAAGCACACATTGAAATGTATGCATTACTCACTCTCTCAGTTCTCTTATTGTCTGATGATCCAACTTTTATATTCAGTACACAGGGGAGAACTTCTTACACTTGTCTGTTTTTCTGACACAGATTTTTGCTCCTGTTTAATGAGTATAAACACCACATGACTTTCTTATAGCATGTACCTCTTTTATCCTGCAGATCACTGTTCCATATTTGAAGTTATATAATTCCCATTAACACAACTTGACCTAGAACTACTAGAATGGTTCTCCCTTGACAGTTTATACATGTTTCACTCAATTTATTGTCCATTTGCAATTGGTTAATTAAAACATTTTAATAATGTTTTTAATGCTTATTCTTAAATGAACCCAAAGTGACAAATAATACACTGTCTCTGCTGTGTTAAAGTGTTGTAAAGATTAATCAGTTATTTTTCTGGGTTACTTCCTGTAGGTGAATCCCAGTAAAAGCAAGCAGGGCAGTAAGGCTGCTGAAGGCTACCACAAGAGGGAGCTGCACAAACCTACTACCTTCTTCAACCACAGCTTTGAACTGCCCTACAGTAACCCCTACTTTGAGCCAACACTCAACTCTCCTCTTCAGGACAGGAGGAGGGTTAAACATGAGAGCCTGGACAACCTGCAGGCCTCCACTTACTTTGGTCCGACTACGGTCTCTGAGAGCATCAGCAGCAGGAAGCACAGGAACAAAGCAGGGAAGCAGCCGTCGTGGCCCGTGAAGAGCCTCAGTCTCAACACAGGAGAGGGGCCTCCAGAACTTGAGAGATCCTTTCTGAACAGCAAACCACTCAAAGAAAACCATCATCGCAATGTCACCATCCGAAGAACTGACAATGATCAGCATTTTCAGAGCCCAAAGGAAAAGGTGTTAGTTTCTCCTTCTGGTTTTGCAAAGAAAAGTGAAGGAATAAAAACCAAGGATGTAGCACTGATGGCGAGTGGGCCGGTGGGTTTGGAGAAAAGAGAAGCAGCCAAAAGGTTCAGGGGCAAAAACAGTCCTTCCTTTCAGGGAGTGGACAGCTCCTCTAGTGTTGGGACTCAAACGGAGCAGGCTGAGAAGAAGAAGGGGAAGGAATACCCAGTGAAGTACAGTGACAGAGAAAGACACGCCTTCAAGCATTGTGAGGAGGACTCTGAGATGGTCAGCGATGACATAAGCGACATTTTCCGTTTTCTGGATGATATGAGTGTTTGTGACTCATTGGGAGTTGTTCAATCGTCCTGCTCCAACAGTAATGGTTCCCTCTCTCAGGTAACGCTGAAGTCTGAAGGTGAGAGCTCCCCTGAACGCAACACGGTCAAACTAGCCAAGTCCAAGCTTGACCGCCTCTTCCATTCGCTTGAAAACACAGACGATGAGCTCAAATCCAGCGTGTGCAAGCTGGTCATGAGGATCGGAGAAATTGAAAAGAAGCTGGAGTCTCTGTCGGGGGTCCGCAGTGAGATCTCCCAGGTGCTCTCCAAGCTCAACAAGCTGGACGAGAAGATCCAGGAGCCTGAGGCCAACGGGAAGCACGGGGGGCCGCCGTCAACATCTGGATCCAATGCCACCCCGGACAAGTTGCACCCCAACCCTCATCCACATCCCGACATCACGCTCTCACCTCGTGTTTTCCAGTGCCACACCACCGGTCACAACGTTAAAGTGGACAATAGCCCCTCAGCCGAGTGGGGCTGCTCCGATGGGAACAGTGATAGCCTCAGGGTCAAAGCTCTGAGGAAGAGCATGTTCACCAGGAGGTCGTCACGCTCCCTCAACGAGGAGAACAGTGCAACCGAGTCAAAGGTCGCCAGCATCACCAACTCTCCCCGGGACTGGAGGACAGTGTCCTACTCCTGCCACCCTGGAGACGAGGGCAAGGACAGACAGTGGAAAGGAAAAGAGGTAGGACTGTTTTTAAATTAACTTTTAAATGGCAGAGAAACACACAGTATTTGACTTATGTAGAATACTAAGCATGAAATCACCAAATCAAATAACTAAATTGAGCAGATGCTGTTCAGCAGATGCTGTTCAGATGCTGTTCAGCAGTAAGAATACAAAAGTATAACTCATAAACTTAATAGTAGGACTCTGATCGAGGCCAACAAATGATTGATACACATCCCTAGTGTGGGGGAAACTTCTGTGTAGCAATGCAGGAGGAGTCACCGACTCAAAGGAGACACGGGGAGAGCTGGAGCTTTGATGTCAAACACTGATGGTTTATTTTGGAGCTTCGGCCGGAGAATTCACAAAACCAGTCAAAGAGTCAGAGATTCTGACTTTACGGTCGAGTTGCCATGTTAATTCTGAAGAACTCTACCCCAGACCCGTGTATTTAGCTAGTTCAGAGAGAATAATCAACATTTTTTTGTACACAATTTTTTTTTCAATAATTTTTGGAAATAAATAAATACATGTTCAAATAAGTATAGAAACCAAGTCGAATTAGTCAAATGTATTGAACTGGTGATTACAGTTTGACAGCTATAGGCCTACAGCTTTCATGTGTGGAGGCGATTCACAATCAGTCCAGCTGTAGAGAAGACCCTCTCAGCTGGAACGGAGGTTGCGGGTATAGCAAGGTATAGCATGTATAAGTTTAATTTGGCATAGTTTGACCTCTACACCGCACTCACTAACCTGGTCGAAATATTTCCACACATTACTCCTTTTTGACGCCAAAATATGTTGAATACCGGCAAAACTAAATCTCTCCTGTCAAAATGTCTATGTACTTTGCCGCCACACATAGTTGCCAAGCAGCGCTTATTGTTGTTTAGGCTGGCCACTCATGTGTCGCGAGTGTTGACAGGGGGCGGGGGAGCACGCTCATGAACTGTTAGCGCCGGAACCTCGCAATTTGGGCCTAAGATGAGGTTTGAGTCTGAGTGATCTGCGTGTAGGGAGGGGCAGCAGCCATATCATTGGCTAGAACTAGCTAGATCTGATGGATTTGGACATAAACACGAGTGAAGTATAACCAGACGCGAGAGAGAGAGATCAGCACCTGCAGCTCTGCCAGCTGTAAGGGACCGGTGAGCGGAGCAAAACACACACTTTGGACGTCAACTAACACATTTAGCTATGGCACTGTCGTATATATATATATATATACACATTGAATTATTCAATTTGATAATATGTAATCAACTTAGGCATCACTCCCAAAAAAAAACTCATATTCGAATACATGAATAATTATTCGAATACCTGAATAATTTCGAATATTCGATTAATCGTTCCCATCCCTAATAGTTACTGCAATTACTTATTTTGTACCACCCAGATGTCAGCCTAACATGCTGTAAACCAACATTGAAATATTATCCATTACATAAAATCATATAAAGTTGTTATGGTAAACTTGTCAGCAAGCAGACTTCTATCTACACTTCCACCAATACCTGAGAGACATATCTGTCTCTAGCTGCTAAATGCAACACCATGTGCACTATATGGACTAATTCATGTTTTCCCCATGATCAACCCTTGTTAACTGATCATTGAAAGGAGAAAGGAAAGGAGGTTGGTGTGTGTGATTTGATGTTGCTCTACAACAACAACATCCTGAAGGTCACTTGTAATGCATGTGAAGAGGTGAGGGGTCTAGTTTATGGGAGAAGGGCATGTGCACAACATATAGCTTTTAAATAAATATCCTGGAATTAATTAATAATAAAGAAAACAATAAAACATTTTATACATATATCGCTTTTCTCAGTACTTTAATACTTTACAATGAAACAAAAACCTTGCATACATGCATCGAAACAAACATACTGAAATGATAAACACCAGATGCTAAGGTCCTAACCTGCAGACATGAAATTAAAATGACACACAAATAAGTGTGTGTATGCCAATATGTTGAACTGTTCTGTTACCGTTATATTTGTATTCAGCTTTATTGTTTTGATCCCCACAGCAGGCTTTTAAAACAGCATGTTAAAATGTCAAAATGTCTCATTAGGTGTTAAACACACTGTTTATTCCCTGTGACCTTTCTGCACCATGCTAAATGGAGCGCATGTTAATTGAAAATGGTCCTGACCCGAGCAGTCTGCATGCAGCTGCTCTGGCACAACTACCGGCTGTATACCATCTCTGTAGGAGTATAACACTTGACTAAGGAGTTATTATTCTTGTGTTTGGTTCCTGATTTATTTAAAGGTGCCTTTTTTCAATACTTGCCGTCACAAAACCCATTCACTGTTACACTCTCTTGATGTAAACATCCTCCATTTCTCTGGATATTGCAGCTCCTCAGCTCTAATCCAAGGCAAGGCAATGCAAGTTTATTTATATAGCACTTTTCAACACAAGGCAATTCAAAGTGCTTTACAAAAAATGAAAGAGATTAAGAAAATGGCATTTAAAATCAGTCATTAAAAAGAAAAGCTAATAAAATAAACATTAAAAGAAAAAATACATGGATAAAAGTTACAGTGCAGTCAATTAAACATTAAAAGAAAAAAGTACATGGATAAAAGTTACAGTGCAGTCTAAGATATGAATAGTTCAATTAAATCCAGATAATAAACAGTTCCTTATTATATATTACATTCCCGATGTTTAGCCACATGTCTTGTGTTGACGGTTTTCTCTTGTATACCATCTCTCTATAATCAAATTAAAGCTGCAAATACTGCAAAAAAGAAAATACTTTCGGCACATATTAGTCTTCTCCTCACACTGTATCTCCTGTCACAGTACCAAAGTACATGACCCCGGATTTTAATAATATCCATTGAATGACTATGTCTGAATTCCTGTTGTTTCCTTGCTGTCTCCGACTTGGTACCATGGCAGTGCTCCTGTCCATTTTTATTTATCGTACAATAAGTCAATGTATTGATTATCGCTTACTGCTCGTAAGCGATAATCAATACATTGACTTATTGTACGATAAATAAAAATGGACTCGATAACTTTTCTGAGCTCGATAAATTGCGATAAAGTGTGTTTGTTTACATAAGGATGTGACCAGAATTTTAGCCCGGCGCGCTGTGAGGGGCGGGGCTCACACACAGCCAGGTCAGGACACTCCGCGTGCAGCAGTGTAGCAGCCAAATGAATAATATAGAGACAAGCAGGAGACAACGTGTGACTTACTCGAGGGGAATTTGAAGTTAAATGGAAGTGGTTGCAAAACCTAATACCACATCTCCGGTGTGGGAATATTTTTGAATTAAAGCCAAATCAACGAGGCGAACCTACGGACTTGAATGAGCCGGGCGGTGTGTCGCATTTGTTTTAAAAAGGTAGCAACAGAAGCTAGCAATACGACCAACCTTAAACTGCACCTGAAACACAACCTACCCATTCCGTTTTCCCAGCTGGGAGCAAACACGGCAGCTGGAGATGGAGAGCCCCCACCTTCCCTACAGTTTACAATCAAAGATGCATTTGCCCAACAATGCAAACATGTTGTTGTTCCTTGCTCGAAAACTTTGAAAAACAGATTTGGATATGGCCTGTTGAGGCATCTGGGTCTTTGACAGTGGACTGTACACTTGACTGTTGTTTTAAGGAGGGTTTTTTTGCTTGTGAGACAATGTGTGCTCATATTTATTTATTTATTTATATATATATATATGAGAGAGCTCTGTTTTCCAGCCTGAGTCTATTTAATTGATTGTTTTGGTTGTGTGTGATTTTAATTAATTTGTTATAATTAAATGTATTTGTTTTATTTATTATATATAATTTATATATTTGAATATTATTTCACATTTCATTTGCAATGTTGAATGTTCAATAAAAAGTTCTGTTTGAAAGGATGTACTTGAATTATTATTATATATTATCATTATGTCAGTGGTCTACAATTGTCTTACAACGGAGCCGACAATATTATTGTTTATCGCAATAATTTCCGGGAAAATGTATCGTCCAACAAAATTAATTATCGTGACAGGCCTACATCATGTCATGGCCATTTCTACTGATCACAATTCCATTGTTGAGGTCTACTAAAATAGATTTATATTGTGCAATTTCCCAAACTCACATTGGTTTCTCATACAGCATCTCTGTGTAGTATGTGTATTCACTCTGTCCTAAACGGCTCGTTGGTGCTCCTGCCCCCCCCCCCCTCCCTGTGAGCCCAGTGTGCTCCGATTGGTCAGCTCGGCCACTCTGTTCTGATTAGTCAACCACCAGAGAGGCTCCGCCCATGTCTAACACAGTGCTTTTTTCGGCTCTGAGCCGAACATCAGTCTTACAATGGCGTCGGTACAGCCGTATATGTTATACGCTAACTAACCGAACTGTACCTACAACTGTTGTTATTTAGGTGCACTTGTGGAAACTACGCCATGATGCCTACCGAAGTGGAAAACGTCTGTTGCAAAGAAATTAGAAAGGTAGCCTAGCTGACAGTTACAACATTATGTAGCCAGCTAGCTGAAAACACCAACAGTAGCACACAACACCATATGCCAAGATATACACCATACATACCCCACACCCTGTAGAACCTCCATAACATGTACAGATTCGATTATAGACCTTTGAGGCGTAGAACGGAAGAAGAGTACGTTATTTTTACCTGTAATAAACTACTACTGTGTTTGATGAAAAATCAAATCATGGTTTGCTATATATGAATGATATTTTATAGGAGCAAATAATTCAGGGAAGAAAGGCTACTAAGTATTTCCATCAAACTTTATTTTTAGAAATGTACAAAATGAACATGAGTAAATATACATATATATATCATCCATTCCTCCCCTTATTGGCGTTTTCGGCATCTTGCCTATCGCAGCTTTGTAAGCTGGTGCTGGGGCTTTTTAGGACGAGGCATCAAAGTGGTCTTCCCGTCATGTGTTGTCAGACGGATACGCCAGGAGTTTCCTGATCTGGCTGGACGAAATCAAATGCAAATCACAAAATAT